GCACAATTGGAAGAGCGTAGTCAATGTCACTGAACTGTGCATGTACAAATTTTTGAAATGGTGTATCTTTGGCTATGTGTATTTTCACCAAAAAAAAGGTTGACAAGTTAGAAGGTTGATATGTTGTGGGGTTATTAACCAATGTCATAAAACAACATGTGTACTACTGTTTCATGAGAAACTATTTGTTCTGTAAGCCTTCACCTGAAGTATAATAAAAAGATAAAATTAAAAAAAAAGAAAAAGACTGGTAAAAATACTAAGGATTAAAAAAAGAGATTTCTCCTGTATCTTTGGGCTGACTACTTCTTAAAAATAGCCAGTAAAATGTCTTTTTAAAAGTTTTTTTTTTCTCACTTTTCTACTGAGGTTAAATTCCCTGGAGCCTATAATCTATAAAAGTGATTTAAGGCAATAACAACAATGTATATAGCATCTCCCAGCATTTAAGGCTTTACAATTATTTCAAATTGAAACCCATAAAATAGTGATTACAATTTTAACAAGCTAGCACAGATCTCCATACTCATACAAATTATACAGTTCACAAGTTAGATTTTAATGACTTCCATCAACATGAAAACATGGTTAGTGATTATTTTAAAACTTTATTTTTCGCTAGCCACAGAGCTTTGATCTTATTTTAGTGAAAATTACATCCTTTTGTAAAAATCCAAACACATGCTATTTTCCTAAATTGGCTATTATAAAGAAGGAAATGGCATATTATATAGTTAGAGTATATGTCACTTGACACACACGGACATGCACACGCAAGCATACATACGTGTCACCAAAGGACAGAGCAGGTGTGTGTGTGTGTGTGTGTGTGCGCGCGTTTCAGCTCTCTGCTGAATAATAGTCTATTTTACTGACAAATCACACAGTCCCTACAATTTTACTATTATTTCCTCACGCTTGAGTTGATTTATATTTTCCACCTTTTCTTAATCTTTCTTTATATTGTAAACTGTAGCTCCATGTAGACTTTCTTTTCTAGTTCTTGGCATAGACTTCAGTATAAGTCTTAATGTAGAGAGATTCAATTCACTTCCTTTGGGATTCTTATGTTTTGGTGACTATAATACATATATATGCAAGCCCTGGTGGAGTCATGGATAAGAGCTCAGCTGCTAACCAAAAGGTCGGCTGTTTGAATCCACCAGGCACTCCCTGGAAACCCTATGGGGCAGTTCTACCCTGTCCAATAGGGTCGCTATGAGTCGGAATCGACTCAGTGGCAATGGGTTTGGTTTTGCTGGTATATATATATGTGTGTGTGTACACTTATTTATTATATTTAAATATATATATTTAAATTATATAGAGATATTGTTATATCTCAGTAGAACTGAAGAAGGTGCTCTGCCAGACAAAGGGAGTGGCTGATGCAAGAGGAAGCAAAAACCTGGTTACCATCTTACACACGGTGGAACTGATCTGTGGATAAATAAATAGTTATGCTCACGTCCAAGACATTACTAAGCCTCCAAACTTATAGCCTCTGGGCTGACCCTGCTTTAAAGTTGTCTTTGTGCTTTTTCTTTTATTCTTCCCTCTGCCTGAAATAATTTCTTTTCCCATTTCCTTGCAGCTAATATCTAGACATTTTCAAGGGTAAAGTCAAATGCTGCCATCTTCAGAAGGCTTTCTTGACATCTGCATTTGTGGAAACATGGCATCTAAGAACACTGTTATTCTGTGTTTCCATGGCACAGAACAGGAATGTCCATACTCACACTTCTACTCAGCTTTATATTGACTGTTCCACTTAGTGAAATAAGATGAAAGAAATAAAAGTCATAAATATTGCAAAGATGTAAAAGAATATTTATTTGCATATAATGTGATTGTTTATGTAAAATCCTATGGAATCCACAAGAAACACTAGAAATAGTAAGTGTATTTATCAAGATTAAAGAATATAAGATGGCCATATAAACAATGAATTGCATTTCTATAGACTAGTAGAAATTTGACCATAGAGTAGAAATTTGAAAATCACATTTTAAAGTGTTTTATTTAAAATAGCATCAAAACCATAAAATCTTTAGATATAAATGTAACAAAAGATATGCAACGGCTCTACTTAATATGTTGCTGAGACAAATTAAAGAAGATCCAGCTTACTGGAGAAGCACATTGAGTTCAATGAATAGAAGACTTGATATTTTTTAAGATGTTAATTCTACCTGTACTTATCTCCACACTTGGGATTTCTCTAATCCCAATTAAAGTCTCAATAGGATTTTTTTGTTGTTGATTTTGGTGTTGATTTGATGATTATAAGCTTTATAGGAAAATGCAAAATACTAGAATAGCCAAAAAAGGCAGAAAACTGGCGGACTTGAACCTCTACATTTTGAGTCTTCTTATAGTCCATCAGTAGTGCAAATGGTTAAGTGCTTGACTACTAGCTGAAAAGCTGGTGGTTTGAACCCACCCAGAGGCACCTCAGAAGACAGGTTTGGGAATGTGCTTCTGAAAGATCACAGCTTTGAAAACCCTATGCATCAGTTCTGCTCTCCACACATGGGGTCACCATGAATCAGGATCGACTCAATAGCAACTAATAACAACCAGATACTCATAATAATCAATATAATACACAGTTGATTCATACATAGACAAATATGTGCGTGGAACAGAATATCAGGTCTTGGAATAGAACATCATATATTTTGTTAATTGCTTAACAGAGACTAAGGCAGTTTAATGGAAAATAATTCAAATAAATCACGTTTGAACAGAATTAATTTATGAAAAAAAATGAACCAGGACTCTGACAATACCAGTAATTCTGAAAAAGGATAATACGTAGTGACTATGAGGTTATACATCAGGAATGGAAGGTTTATTTAACATTCAAAGATCAATAAAGCAAAAGAAAAACCACATGATTATCTCTATAGATGCAGAAAAAGCATTTGACCAAATTCATTCATGATAAAACAACTTCAACAAACTAGGAACAGAAAGGAACTTTCTCAATATGATAAAATATGCACAAATATTAATCAAAATGGATCATAGACTTGACAGCTAAAAGTATAAATCTTCAATAAGAAAGTATTGTAGAATATTTTCATAAACTGGGGGTAAGCAAGATTTCTTAGAAAGTACCTAAAAGGCACTAAATAAAAAAGGAAGAGTTGAAAAATTGAACTTCATCAGTTTAAAAACTTCTTCCCATAAAAAGATACCATTTTGAAAATTCAAACGCAAATCACAAAATTGGAGAAAGTACTTTCAATAAGCATACCTGGCAAAGTCCTTGTATACAGAACTTAAAAGACTTCTTATAAGACAATATTAAAAAGACCTAATGAAGATGCAAGATGCATTCTTTACAAAAGAATGGTATAGAAATACATGCAAAGGTGATCCACATCCTTGGTCATAAGAGTAAAGCAAATCAAAACACAAATAAAATTCTATTTCAAAACCACTAGAATGGCTACCATTAAAATAACATGACAACACCAAATTCCAGTAAGATTGTACACACCTGGAATTCTACTCTATTGCTGATGAATGTGTAAAATGTTAACAACCATTTAAGGTTTGGCAATTCCTTATAAAGTTAAACACCGTTCCATATCATCCACCAATTCTACTGGTATGTATTTATCAAATAGAAATGAAATGTAGATGTACAAAAATTTGTACACAAATATCCATAGAAGCTTTGTTTATATTAGTCAAAAAATAGAAACTCAAATGTTCATTAACTGCTGAATCGATGAACAGTTTATGGTATATTCACACACCTATCAATAGAAATAATTTATGGATGTATTGAAAAAATGGATAATTTTCAAAATGTTATAATAAGCAAAATAACATACACAGCAAGGATGTTGGCACTCACCACTTTGTATACAAACTTGCCCTAAAGTTCTAAGTTCCCTGAGTATAATTCCATTTTTAAGAAGTCGAAGAAGAGGCAAAACTAATCTATGCAGCTAACTCAGAATAGTGGTTGCCCATTTGTGGTGGGCAGTGAATTACTGAGTGAACTTTCTTGGTGATGAGAATCTTGATTTTTTTTTTTTTTAATACAATGGTACATATATTGGCAGCTCTACTTTATGACCCACATAAACAGAAAAAAAAAAAAGTCAAACAATAAGCCCAAAAAATGACAGACTATGAGAAAATATAGATCACTTAAATAAGCCCTAAAGAATCAAACCTGTGGTTAAATTAAAAGCATATACATAATATTAGATGAAATAATTTACACTACAGTTTCATTGTCTCAAGCCCAGTATATCATTCCCAACTTCCTCTTCTAGGATACCCGACTTTCTTTCCCAGGACTGTCACCTAAATGGGCCACAGGGTAATTCTATGATGATGACTTTTATGTAATCATATCTCTTCAAGACAAGTTTGGGTCTTATCATTGACCAAAGACATGGGGCTTCCTAGGAACATACCACTTTGACCTCAATAAGATGTCCATAAATGTTGATCTTAAAGCCTGAGCTAAACAGGATCAGAATTTGCATATAATCTTTGCAGGACACCTTGGTGGTAGGAATTGGCCCATAAAGAGCTGGTAAGAGGGTGTCACATCCATGGGTCTTTATAAAAGAAGAGAGTAGTAAGAGAAAGAGCATATATTTCTATGGTTATGGCTCATGTAAGCTATTCTTAATGGAGCAATAAGACCAGTATTCCAAAAACAGCCCACTGCATGGGCTGTTGGTCATTCATAACAAGCAATGAAAGGACAAGGAGTACAGGTTTCTTGATTTTAAATAACTTTTAACAAGGTTAACCTTTGGTGATATATAGAAGAGGCTGTATCCATAATCATTGGCATTATTATTGCATATGAACTCAGGAAATGACACTCCTGGGGAATCTTGATATTTGATGGCCTTATATGAGTGTATATATTTATCAAAACATCAAATTGCACATTTAAGATCTGTGTACTGTTTTTAAATTTTCTTCAATTTAAAAAAAAATGACAAAGTTTTACATTAGCAGACCAGAGTATTTTTTTTTAAACCAAGAATTTTTAAGAAATTATTCTCATTTTTAAGAGGTTAGAAAGTTCATAGAATTAAAATGCATTCTTAAAGATTATCTGAAGTTTTCTTAACAGTGATGATTGAGTAGAACCCCACTCTCTAAATGGTTAACACAGCGTGTTTTTCCCATAAAACAAGGAAGTGATTGGCATGTTATATATCCCCATCCCAAACTCTGTCAATATGACAAAGCAACCAATAAATTAACATGTAAACAGCAATTAATAGAGTATGCTGTCTCTGAGTGATCAGAAAACCTGATATTCAATAAAGATAATAAGCAAGCCAGAAAATAACAATAATTTCAACAACAAACCAGTATAGGTCAAATACACATTCATGAAGAGCTTAGATAAGATTGAACTTGCACTCTAAGTAGTAACAAGAAAGTTACACATAAAATATATACATACATACACATTTTACAGGAGAGTTACAAGAATAATGAAGGGCTCACATATATCCTTTATCCAGTGTATATTAATTGTCTATTGCTGCTGTAATAAATTACTGCAAACTTTGTGGCTTAAACAATAGAAATTTATTATCTTACACTTCTGTAGGTCTATAGTCGGACACTAGATATTCTAGAAATAATAAGACCAGTTTACTGAATTTGTATGAGTCTGTTAATGTACTCTCTATTCTGTTCAATTAATATATGTCTATTCTTTTGCCAGAGGCCTGGTGCCACAGTGGTTAAGTGCTTGGCTGTTAACTAAAAGGTTGGCAATTCAAATTCACCAGCTGTTCCTTGGAAACCCTATGTGATGGCAATGTTTTTTTATTTTGTTTGTTTTTTTTTCAGTTACTCTTTTGCAATACCATGATTTCAGGATTACTGTATCTTTATAGTATAGTAAGTCTTTATATTGAGTAACATGAGTTCTTCGCATTGTATTTCTTCTTAAGTATTATGTTGCTATTGTAAGTAGTTTGCCTTTCTATATAAATTATAAGATATTTAAGGAGCCTTGATGGCGCAGTGGGTAAAAGCAATTGACTGTTAACCCAAAGATTAATGGTTTGAAACCACCAGCAGCTCCGCAGGAGAAAGATGTGGCAGTCTGCTTCTGTAAAGATTTACAGCCTTGGAACTCCTAGGGGGTCGCTATGAGTTGGAATTGACTTGACGGCAGTAGGTTTGGTTTTTGGCTTAGTTGATGAAATATACAAAATAACTTGCTGAGCTTTTGATTGAGATTGTATTCAATATATTGATCAAGTTGGGACAAATTCACATTATAACATTATTGAGTATTCCAATTCATGAGCATAGAAAATATCTGAATTTATTTAGATCTTCTTTAGGTTTTTGATCAGAGTATCATAGCTTCTTCATATACTTGTGTCCATGACATAATCTGACAGGTTTTTACCTATGTATTAAATTTTTTGGTGCTATTTAAATGATACTTTTATTTTTATACTAAATTCCAGTTGGTCATTGCTGATATATAGGAGAGCAATTGAATTTTGTACATTAATTTTGTTTTCTGTGACATTGCTCATTTGCTTGTTAATTCAAGGAGATGTTTTTGTCAATTTTTTTTTTTTTTTTGTACACAGATCAGCATGGCATCTGTCAGCAAAAGTAGTTTAATTTCTCTCTTCCCAAGCTGTATAGCTTTTATTTCCTTTTCTTATAATTGTATAAATATCAATTATATTTATTTTCTTGTCTTATTTCTTGTCCAGTACAATGTTGAGGAGTTGTGAGAGAACATCCTTGACTTGTTCTTGATATCATGGAAACATATACATTTTATTACCATTAAGTAAGATGTTAGCTGTTAAGTTTCTGTAGATATTTTTAATCAAGCTGAGGACGTTGTCTTACATTTTTAGTTTGCTGACAGTTTTCATCATGAGTAGATGATAGAAGTTGTAAAATGCTTTTTCTGCATCTACTGATGTGGGTTATATGATTTTTCTTCTTTAGCCTTTTGATTTGGTAGATGACATTGATTATATGGGTTGATTTTCAAATATTGAAGAATTTTGAATGTGTGGAATAAATCCTACTTAATTGTGGTGTATAATTTGTATACATTCTTGGATTCAATTTGTTAATAGTTTTTTAATATTTTCACGTGTATAAAACAACCAACAAACGAACAAACAAAAAAACCAAACCCACTGCCATCGAATCCATTCTGACTCATAGAGACCCTAGAGGACAGACTAGAACTGCCCAAGAGGGTTTCCAAGGCTGTAGATCTTTACTAAAGCAGACTGCCACATCTTTCTACTGCAGAGCTGATGGTAGGTTCAAACTGCCAACCTTTTGGTTAGCAGCCAAGCGCTCTAACCACTGGACCACCGGGGCTCCTTTTCCATTAATAGTCATGAAAAATATTGCTCTGTAGTTTTCTTTTTATGTAAGGGTAACACTGGCCTCAAAGAATGAATTAAGGAAGTGTTTCATCTGCTTCTATTTCCTGGAAGAGATTGTGGAGAATTGGTTTCATTCTTTATTAAATGTTTTGCAGAATTCACTAAACTTTCTAGTCCTGGTGGGTTTTTTTTGGAAGTTTATTGATTTTTTATTGTAATACCTGGTATAATCCATACAAAATTTCTTTGTTCTCAGGTGTTCTTTTTCTGAAATTAATATTTGAGTGGGTTTCTGGTTGGCACTGTATAGCTGTTATCTTGCTTTTTGTTTTGTTTTAGCCACTCTGACAATATCTTTTAATTTGTATCTTAACACCATTCACAATGAAAGTGACTATGACTATAGTTGGAGTAAGAGCTATCATATTTCTACCTATTTTTTTATTCATTGCAATTGTTCTTTGTTTCCGCAAACCACCGCCCCAACTTTGTCTGCCTTCTGTGGTTTTAAAAGAGCATTTTGTATTAATTCCATTTTATTTCTCTTCTTAGCATATAAATTATATTTATTTTTTAAATTTTTAGTATTTGCCCTAGAATTTCAATATACATTGTGTGTGTGTGTGCACGTGTGTTTGTGCACGTGTGTGCACACGTGTTTTTGTGCGCGTGTGTGTGCACGCACTTCCTCCAGCGGCTCTAGAAAAGACCTGTTGACTGACTGCCTCTTCCAGCTTTGGGTGGCTGCTACGGTGCCTTCAATTGTAGCCCCATCACTCCATCTGTCTTCACATGGCCTTCTCGTCTGTGTGTGTTTAGGTTTCAAAAGTTCCTCCGGCTCTCTCTTGAAAGGATACATGTCATTGCATTAGGACCCACCTAAATGGCCCAGCATAAGAGCCTCCTCACCCAACACTTACATGAATCACGTCTTTGCTGTATTAATTAATATTTACTCTTTTGCTGTATAAGGCAATATTCAGTCTTGCCATGTAAGGTAATATTCATACGTTCTGGGGATTCAGAAGTGAACATATATTTGGGTGTCCATTTTCCACCCAACCACAATAGTCATGAATTTATATTAATATTTCCAAATCCAAAACCCAAATCAAGTATATTCCCAAAGGATTCTTCCTTGTTTTCCTAGATTCTGATCCTGAGGAATTATTTTTTCTAGGTACTTGTTCCACAAGTTTCTCTAAACTTTGTATTAACCCAAACATTGAATAATAATAGCTTCAGACTAGATGTTAACAAATGTCAATTTGAATCCACATTTCAGGAATGTGATGGAGATTTTTAGGGTAACCACATAGTATAAGTTTCAGGCCAAGAAAATCATGGAAATTTTAATAGCAGATGACCTAGTGAATTATACACCCTTGCCTTAGATACACTTTCATCTATCCATAGGACAGGGTATTGGAAATGCATAAGGCATTTACAGGACACATCTTTAGGTAGAAGATAACCTGCAGTAAAATAATTTCCATCCTTTTTTTTTTTAACTTATTTGTGGGTGACATTGCTATATAAAACAGAATGTTGCATCTTAAGTTACAATGCTGTGAATGTTAAGATGCATATAAACTATTTTGTATATGGCATTAGTAAGAAATGCATAAAAATATACTAATTATACTAAATAAATAGCACCGATGGCAACAGTGTATAAATTCAGGGGCTGGTAAGGAAAGGGAAAAACAGAAGCATAGAACCCTCTGACTGAACCCTGCTGTTTCCTGGGATGACACCACATATGGTCCTCAGTCTAAAAGCACCACAGCATAAGGTGGTATTACGTGCCCTAAAGCATTCTTAACAAATGCATTGTAATGGTGTCTCTGCAAAGTATGGAATGAACTCCTTTCTGTATGAGCCAGACAAACATATACCCAACTGGTAAATAAGTTTCTACGTAAGTTCAAAGAAAAGACAGCTTCGTAGAGCATAGTCAATGTCACTGAACTATGCATGTAGAAATTTTTGAAATGGTGTATCTTTGGCTATGTGTATTTTCACCAAAAAAA